CCATGCGCATGGGCACAAAAAGGCAACCACCGCACGACTACCACTGCCAACTATGAGCCCAGTCTCCGCTGTCCCCCTTCGAGCTCCCCCCCACGACCGCCTCCTTGGATCCCCTGTGGATCCACAACCCTTAGCCCAGAATGTGGCCAGTGGCAGGCAGCCAACCAGAGCGTAGAGCAAACTGGAGCATTGCAACTATTTATTTGTTGCAGGGAGGCAGGGATTTTTTCTATTACGCGCTCGTTTATTACGGGAATTCCAGCTCGCGCCTAAGTGTATGCAGTTTTCTTTCCCTTCCCTTTTTTTGGCTGGCAGGACGAGGGATTTTCTTTAATCAGTTGAACTGCCATCGTGCCTTTGTCGCTCAAAAGACAGGCCTGCGGTCAGAGAAGTCTTGAGCACAAGGGCTTTTCACCGCTTTTTAAATTCCTGCAGCTCGCACAAATTAAGCGAATCCCTGAGCTCCCCGTTTTCCCCGATTGATGGCCAACTGTCAATTGCTAAGCTCCTCAGTCAGAGCCTGAATCACAATCAAAGTCGGAGTCAGTCGTTGGCCGGAAAGTTCCGGAGAAAGGCGAAAGCCCCGGGAAGAACTGCTAAACCGGAGACAGAGAATACGAGAAAAAGATAGAGAGAGAAAGGCCAAAGAAAAAAGCGGAGAAAGCGAAACTTTTTAATGATGTAAAGTACAAAGTTTTCTGTCTTGTCGCTGGCGCAAGTAACTTGAGTAAACTTTGAGTTATGCCCTCCCAGCCATAGATGCGAATCCGAGGAATCGGCGGCGACGGCGACGACCTCAAAGCGCAGTCGACGACATCCTTTCTGCACCCACAGCCAGGACATCGATCGATGCGGCTGCTGGTATTTTGTCGTTTGTTAAAAGTTTTCAACACTCATTTTTATTATGACATACGCGAGAAGTACGAGCCAAATTAGTGGCAAATGGGGGAGGTGTGCGATGGCAATGTCAATGGGTGCGCTAATAAAATGCCAATTTGCTGCCATTGAATGGCTGCTTTATTGGCCGCCATTACAACTCGTACGCATAAAAGCCGCTGCCACATCCTGAAACAACCCATACACCCACGCACACACATGCGTGCGGAAGGACCTCTTCGAAGTAGCATTTTATGACGGCAACATTTACACGCATAAAATATGCATGATAAAACTTTGTTGTTGCAATAAATCAGCCACGGCAGTGGGCACCCCAAAAAAATTGTGCAACCTCTTGCTCGTCCTGATGTGATTACAAAACCATTCCGACTGGAATCGGGAGAGGGTATCCCTTATTTATGTCCTGCGTGATCCGAGTTCATAGGGATGCGGTTGTAATGAGTTCCTGGCGCAAATCAATTTCCCAAGCCCCCCCCAGCACCGCTGTCAAACTACTTAAACTGCCATTAAACTATCGAGAGTGAAGGATGCGAAATATAAAAAACTTTTTTTTTCCAAGTTCTTCAATCAGAAATATTATTAGTACAAAAAAAGACGCCCTGCTTTGTTAGAGGTGCAAATGCTGGCTCACAAACAGACAGAGCAAGTCGCCTGCTTCTCCTCAAAAGCTTCCAACTTTTTTGGCCATTGTGTTTTGACTGCCTTTGTTGCATGCATAAAATATTTATGCGCTGGAAAATATGCAGCAACAAAAAATGGGTGGCAAATACAGGGCTGCCCCTCCATCCCCCCTCCCCGAACTTTTTGCCATGTGCGTGCAACTTTTCACACTCAAATGAAATTACGGGGGGGAGGAAAAAAAGGAAAACTTTGCTACTTAAATGTAGCGCTCTCTCGCCACTGCTCCCATTCTCTTTTTTATTGCTTTCTGCACTTTATCAACCATTTTGCCATGGCTCAGTGAACGCTCAATTGCCGGCTGTCAGTGGGAGGGAAAGAGACAGGGGCAGGCGACGGCCAGGGGGTGGGAGGCGTAAACTTTTCATTAATAACGATTTTCCATTAACTATCGATTGATTTCGAGTCCCCAGGACAGCAGTAGCAGCATCCCGCCACCGGCAGCAGCAACAACAATGGGGCCGCAGTAGCAGTGGCAAACGCACTTCAGACAATGCCTGCAACCGGCAGCTACAACAACAACAACAACACCGCCATCACCCAACAACACTTGAGTCTATTTAAAACGCAAACAACAATAAACCGCCAGGGGTGAGGGGTAGGGAGAGGGGGTTGAGAGGCTCATAACCGAGGACGACGCCGCCGCCGTCGACAGGAAAAACTCATTGAAAAGTTTTTCTTTTTTACACTTGGCGCGCTCTCCCGTTTCGCCAGGACCTCCATTCCTTTGCCCCCGATCCACACACCTAAGCGGTGTATCGAAGGAGGAAGTTTTTAATTTTTTATCGCGCTATAGCCAACACGGGCTGATATGCAACGAACCTGGTTACGCTTGTTTAGGAGGAGGCTACTGTTTGCCAGGATACTTTCAAAGATTTTTTAAGGGTTAGGCTGGGTTTTAATCTATCCAAATTATTTTGTAAGCCTCTCTTGAAAGGTATTATAATTTCGATATGAATAATTAAATCTTTTTTGCTTTACAAGTTTAAAGCCCACAACTTGAAAAATCTATAAACAGAAAAAAAAAATATGACTGGTAGATCAAGTGGATAAGTTTTCTTATAATTCTGTAAAAAATATTAACATATCAAAATGAAAAGTAAAACATATTTATATGAAAATATCAAACATATAATTTTAGAAAAATATAAAAGAACCAAGTATAATAGTAATAACAGAACACTTAGAATTTTATGAAGTTAACAACACTCTCTTTATGTTGGATAACCACCCCTTTTGGAAATGCCAGAAGTTTTAAAACCTTTAAACTTGCCCCAGTTCGACGTTTATTTATATCCATCATCTGTTATCGCTGATAATATAGAGAACTTGATGTTCAAAGTTTATTCTATTTGGGAATCCTCCAGAGTATGATCAGTTCGAGTTGCCAGGTGGATGTCCTTCTTCACTTCTCCATCAACTTCTTCTGCAGTTCCTCATCCTTCGTCCTTGTTGCTACACGCGTTACGTTCACGCCGGTTGTGGTTGCTCCTTCGTCCTTTGTTTGCTCCAGCGACTATTATGGGGCAAAAGGCATTATTGTGTAGGTCGTCGGCATTGCGTTTTCTCATGTTACTTTTTTTCTATATTTTTTTTTCGGTTTTGTTTTGCTTTTACCATTTTTATATAGCCAAAGCCCGCTCGGGCGCTACCAATATATATAAATTATTGCATAAAGTTTGGTGCTAAGTTGCAAAAAGTTTCCTTTCATTGCTGCCGCTGCTGCGGCGGCAGCGTGAACGACACACAATAGTCTATAAATCTTTATGGTCAACAGAGATTACATGGGCCCAGACGCGGCGAAGAAAGCCTTCGTGTAGTTTACTGGCCCTGGCCCTTTTGGCCCATTTCCACCATACCCTCTGAGCCCAGAAGCTGCTTTTTAGGCGCTGTGTGCGTTGTTTTGATTTGTGTGCTCCTATTCCAACTGTAGTTGTTGTGGCTTTTGCCGATTGTTACGGCAATCGAGGGCAGGACTGGTCGAGAGTTGAGCATATGGCCATAAAAATGCGGTGCAGACGTGGTAGATGCTAGATAAATCATGCCAAAGCCCCCCCGAAAAGTATGCAATGCTGGCGGCGAATGAATAGGAAATAGGAAATTCTTGTAAAAATCGGCCACGGTTTCATCCCAAAAAAGGTTTCGTGGCACACCTTTAATTGCTTAAATTGTTCTCGTGCCGCGCAGGCTTCGTGGAAGGCAATTCGATTTCTCGTGGCCCCATAAACAACTTTTCAAAAGTATAAAATAAAAAGGGAGAAAACGTGTATAGGTTTACCGTTAGGATCATTTTACATAAAAATGCAATAAATAGCTACAACAAAATTTATGGTGGTCGTGTAAGCAAAGAAAGTAAAGGAAGGAAGGAAGGAACCGCCGGACTCACTCGTAAATGTCAAATGCCGTGTGCTGTGTGGCTGAGGGCGCCTCAAAGTATGCTTATAAATTGCTCTAAATAGCAATTTTGGCTGCTCCACCTCTCTAGAGCTTCGCTTCTGCCGCCCGGTGTCGTGTCATTTGTTCGTTTTCTTTATTAGTGTCATGTATTTTTATAGTTCAAAGGACATTTGAATGATTGAATGAACTGTTTGTCCCCCCACTCCCTTTTTCTAGCTTGCTTGACCGAAAACGACGAGTTGCGCGCATGATTTCATCCCTTGCAGCCAAAGGACTCGCTCTACGTGCGGTCAGCTCCTGCTCCTGGTCGATGTCCTGGTCAGCGGCGGCAGCGGCGGCGGCGAACGGTCCCAGGCACGTTTCATCATGGCCAGCTTGTTGTTGGTCTGGCGACTATATCAAATAACGACTATTGACTACGCCTGTGTGGCGCTCCGTGATGTCGTGTCCCCCGGTCGTCCTTTCTCCGCATTCACGTGTAGGGTTACAAGCCACCCCCTCCACCCAACACCCACCACCCATACCATTCCATTCCTTTCCATCCCGTGACCCTGTGGTGCCGATGATGATGATGTTGTTGTCGCCAAGCGTCGCCATCGCCCGTTGGCGATGACGAATGAAAATCAATATTTATTAGATTACTTTCGAAATTTTATACGAAAATAGAATTTTTATGACATTTTTTTTCCTCTGGTTTCGCCCTGGGCTAACTTCGCCATGTGCCTGGGCGTGTTAAAGTGCTTGCAATAATCAATTTTTGAGGGAAACTTGAGCGAGAGATTCGTGACCCGGGCTTTAAAAGGGTTTTCGGGTTGGGTATCTGTGTATATTACTGGGGACGAAATTATTATATTAATGTTTCGCCCACTTCTCTTCGCTCTTATCGCCCATCATATCTAATTACAGTTTTCGTTTGCCACCCCAGCGCACTCATAATGACTTAATTATACTTTAGCCAATTTTCTTTCCTACTCTCTGTATCACTTAATATTAAACATTTCCGTGTTCTCCCTTGTCTCTCTTTGCAGGTAAGTTGCCATCATCCATTAATACCACCAGCCATCAAATTAGTAAGTACACAAAACGAGCTGCTAACACTTTTTATGTGCGTCTTTAACTGTATACCTCTCGCTCTATCCCACTATCTCTGTATATGTATATCCTTTGGCATTCTTAGTCCTCCACCAGGACCGATATATACACGAATATAAAGCAAATGCATTTTAGTGCCCTCAGTTGACCTCGTTTGGGGCTTGTTTTTATGGCCCTGCTCAGGAGAAGCCCATGCGATGATGCTACTCACGTGGCTCAAAACTAAAAGCTCCCCCGAGTGTCTACCCCATCTCCCACCGCCTTCCCCCTCCCTCTACAAATCTTGAGCTAGTTTTGGGTCTGAACCCAGTCCCACCCCCCGGGAGTCACTTAATTATGAAGCTGCACATGAAGTAAAACGTCATAAAGCGTCGAGTTGAGTTGGAGGCCATATACGGTTGACTTGGGTAGCATCATCAGTCCCCGTCTGTCTGCCAGTGCCTCTTACACATTCTTTTTTCGGGGGCTTGGCAGCATTCTGCAGTTAATTTTCCGTTGCTAAATAAACTGTTTATGGCATTTATGCCAAAAATTTTTGGCCAGAGCAGGAGGCAAAAGGGGGAGGGGAGGGTAGAGAAATCCCTGGTTGAAGGATGACGATGAACCGTCTGAGTATGCGAGTGTGCGTGTGAGCTGAGCAATTTCTGCATAACCAACCACCAGAGGAGCGCTGTGTATCCTGTTTGCCCGGAATTGCCTTTTAATTGTGATTTTCGGACTACTTTAAGGCTATTTTTTTGTGTTGTGAATTAGAGAAATTGTTGCTTGATTGAAATGGAATATGGCAATAATTGGTTTGCTCTTGCACATACTCAGATCGGAAAGAATTCGAGAGGGATATCCTTTATGCTACTGCTTATTGCAAAATGATTTTGTGTGTGTGTGTGTTCACTGACCCCTTACTTATACAAGAGAGAATATTTACATTTTATGCACACAGCGGGCACACCCACGCACACACACACTCTCACACTTTATCCACTGACAATTTGGCAGTCACCGCAATCATAAAAATTTCCACTTCCAAGGAGAAGGCCCGTCAGTCGGTCGCCTCTGCGCCTCATTTAAATGCAAATTTTTGACGAGCGGTTTTAACGTTCTTCTTCATTTCCACTGCCGTTTCTCCGTTGGCGGTGGGTGAATGTGAATGAAAACATTAAAATTAAAAATATAAAAAAATGTAGTCTGCTTTTAGGCAGAACTCTCGGCTGTCCTTGTAGATCTGTGTGTGTTTGTGTGTGTTTTGGGGGTGGTGCCCATTGCTCGTGAGAATAATTCAAGGTGATGGCTTAATTGAAATATGCTTTTAGGCGCTTTGCCACTCCCCCTGGAAAAACGATGCCCCCTCCCCAGTGTGACTTCCATTTTGCATACTTCACTTTGTTGTGTGTCTGGGTGCATATTTTATGGAGCTGCGGTCGACCACAGAAACCGACCCAAAAAAAAAAAGAAAAGAAGCGAGAACGGAAGGGAATCTGAATCGAAATAAAAACTGAAGTGAAGCTGCTTAATGTTATGCAAAGTGTTTGAGCCTGCGGCATGCGTAAACCAATGGAAAAAGCGGCGAAATCGGGCGTTAGGACAGGAGAACCTGTTTTTTTCTGGTGGAGAGGATACGCCATCACCTTTAATTGCTGGCCATTTCAATTCTCATTACAACTTCAATTGACTTTTGCCGGATGTTGGCAGCGAGAAGAAAGGTGAACAGAGGAGTTTCAGAGGGTAGCAAAGGGTATGCAATATATATCCTTCATATGACTTATCGTATCGTAATCCCTCTTGGATCTGCCATAAACATTCATATGCATAAATTTGACATTTGGCTGCTCCATAAAAATACTCCCAGCCGCAGGGCCTTTTGCCAGTCTCCCCGGAGTCTGGTATGTGGGGAAATTTATGCACATAACATCCACTTGACTCCTCCGAAGGACAGACAGTCAGACAGTCAGACAGCATCCCCCAAGTGCAACTCTCAACCGGAGCCAAATGAAAAGCGACAGCCAGCGAAGATGTTCGAGCAACGAGCGAAATCTGGTTTGCAATTTACAAATTGCGCCAAGGCGGTAGAAAAACAAAGGAAAACAAAAGGAATGCTTATATTTTATGCAATATGCCACACCGCGTTTTATTAAGCAAATTACGATGAACGAGATGGCTGCCTGGGAGTTGGAGAATCTCGGCAAGTCCTACTTATGACCTTGGCAAACAGCCTAACGCCTCTGTCCTGAGCCATTTGGCAAACAGACTCAAGTCTACGCCACTCGCCTCACATTTTGCTGCTCTTAACGCACATTTTCATATATAAATTATTAATTTCGCATGGGCCCAAGAATTGTTCGCAGGACGAAAGGAAACCGCACGCCTAAGCAGTCGAAGGATCAGGGGCTGGAAAGCGAATAAGCAGATGGGCGGGCGGTCGAGTGAGTGAAATGCATTTTGTGCTCCATTAAAAAATAAAAGCAAACGTGGCTAAGATAGCGTCTGTCTCTGAGTTCTTTCCTCTGTGTTGTGTACACAATAAAAATCTCACACGAAGCGCATAAAAATAAAGCAAGAGATACCCCAAAGAGGGATTTCCCCATACACACACACACACACACACACACTCATCTTATCTAATGGCGAAGTCAAAGCCCCCATTGTGATTTTTAAGTTGGTAACCTTTATGTGGTAAGGGAGTGTGCCGGAGAGAAAGTGCATAAATAAGTAAACAAATGCCTGTCGCTTAAGATTACATGGCAAATAAGCTGGCGGAGATGCGAGCCGAAGCAGGACAACATTTGAATGTGGAGGCAAAGGAAAAACCTCGCCGCTTACTTACTTATTCATAGCCAGACCTGAGCGGAAAGTGTGTGTCTTGAGGGGGCATAAAAATCAGCATAAACAGCAATTGTTATGGGCTGCGAATGAAGCCCAGATCAGCTCAGCTCAGAGCTCACATCTGTTTTTAGTGAATTGAGGTAATTTTAGGTGGCTAAAGTGCGCAAATCAATGCCACCGAAACAGAACAACTGCAGCAGGAAAAGAATTGAAATTCATCCCGCCAGAAAAAGAAGAAGGGTTTTTTTTTCAACATTTTAATTTAGTTATGAGTACTCACTGCCGACACAAAACAATTCCTGACACAAAATCAGTTGGGAACAACGAGGGTTGAGATGAAAAATGCCGTGCTAGAATTGCCGGGTGTACAGACTGTTTGACACGCACGTGTCCTTTGCCAATGACAAGGGAAATTTTACAACTTTCAAGTTTAATTTGCCAAAAGTAGCAATCAACCAAGAGCCAGGATCCCGAAAAAGAGGGGTGGTTAGGTGAGGAGCAAGGACCAAGGACCAACCCTTTCGAGCTAATTGCTTGGAAGTTGTTAAATGTAAAAATTAAAATGTATAAAATGTGTATATTTTATATTAAACTGAGGAGGAGCTCTGCAACTGTCAGTCACTCACTTTCGCCCCCCCGTTCATTCGTTCACTCATTCAGTCATTCATTCATTTATTCAGCCAGAACGTAGCCGGTTTTATGAGGTGTTAAGTGGGCTTAAATTAAAAGTGGGCGTGGGCGGAATGTGACGAAATGTTTGCATATTTATTTAAGTTATGGCAAAGGGCGAAAAGAAGCATCCATCCGGAGGAATCGAGGGTGGGTCTCACTCATTTGAAGGGGGCTGCAGACTTGACTTCTGTTTGTTTTCCGTTTGACATGAAGGGGCCACATGTGCGTGTTATAAATTTATATTTAATAAACTTTCGGATCTCCGAGGCTCAAGTGGGTATCAGAGGAATAAGCGCCACAGATTCCCACTTACTGGGGCAAAGGGCAAAGGACAAGGACGAGCTTGAACGGGAAAGTGAAAATGAGGCAGTGATAAACAAATGGGTGCCAGATTATAATGAACATATAATGTTTCATGTGAGGGCTTTCAGGCGTCAGCAGGCGGTTCTCAAGTTCCAATTGTGCTCGACCTTTGTCATTTCCATGTCCTGATATCTCATACAGATAATCTGCTTTTCCATTCACCTACTCCAGACCTCGTCAGCCCGATTCTTCTCGCACATTGCATTTTCTCACCGTCTGCAATTAGTTATAGGACTGCCCCTTAATTATATATTCACAAAAAACCCATTCCAGCCTAGCTTTGTTTGCCTTTGACACACCCACAAACCCAAACTAAGACACCGTGTCACAGGACACGTGGCAGCATTTTGAGTAGCAACATCAAATTGCTTATTAAAATAATAACAAGGCCAGTCGGAAAAAATTAAATCTAAATATGGGATGCAGTCAACCCTCGGAGCCTCAAAAACTAACCCCTGCCCGAGGGCACAAGCAATTACAGATGCGGAAACCAACCCTGATAATGAAGGCCCAAGGACATGGTATCTTTAAGTTTTAAAGCCCATAAAATACTACCCAAATCTATGCCACTTTGATCATCAAATCAAGTTGTACGCTCTGTGTTGTCCTTCATTTTCCCCACTCGCCTAGCTTTTTTGTCTTTGGCTGGAGGACCCAAAGAAAGGAACTATTACTGACCCAAGGGACAGGACTAAATGAAATCAAAATTAATACAATTTTCGGGTCGCTGGGCTTAGTTCCAGGACATAGCCTATATTTCCTCTCCCCCATCACCACTGCCCTCCCATATTGACAGCCCCCGAGATCAAAGATGTGTTAAGAACTTGTGCTTGCAAGGAATTTGCGATGAGGAGGAGGTAAATTGAGACATAGACATGAACCAATTTCGTTCATATATGAAGACCGGGCGGCAAGGCAGGGCAAATAAAATAAATGGCAATGAATGACTGAGCAAATGAATAAATGAGAGAAATTTTTGCTTTGAAATTCAAATTTCAAAAGTTGTCATGACATTGTGTTTATGACATTCAGTTGCCGAGGCCAGAAAGAGATGACGAGCTGCAGCAATTGAGATAGAGGAGCATATATGGGAGGAGAAAACTTCTGTCAATGCTTCGTTTTT